AAGTTATAATCAAAAGCCTGGTTTAACGTCAATCAAGCCATAATATAACAAATTTCACCTTACATAAAAAACGCAAAATATTATAGATTTAAGGCATTCTCAAGGAACACAATGGATCTATTCTTTTCTCAATAAAGGGTTTTTCCAGATTGATTACGACGGGTTGTACTTAGTATCATGGTCCATTTATCTATTTCTTATCCTTATCACAAATAAAACTTTTTGTTGCTTAAATCCCGTCCAATTTGTCGTCTATATCCACATTTTAAGGTCGAACTTGGCCTATCAGGATTATATTTGTGTATTTTCATTGTTTACTTCGTATATAAATTGCAATATGAACTTTTATTTTCACTTAGATAAGTATTTTTGCATATTAATAGCTGAGCTCCGCCAGCCCGGGCTTTTGCTGGCCCTTTTTACCGCGCTTGAGCACAGCATTTCCCAGGGAGAACTACTCGATTCCGCTACCTCTACCGCCTCCAGCCTCATGACATCAGGCGTTTCCTTCATTGGATCGCATTATAGTCGTGCTCGTCGTCGTCTGCTGGCTGGTCTCCGTCACATGGCAATCTTTCCTTTATTCAACGGTGGCCTTGTCAGCCTGGCCGATTGCCAGTCGGCAACTGGCGAGTTATCAAACATCATATGTCCTGGTCTTTGGTTACCTCCAGATCCAACCAGCCTGACTTGCTTCTCCTCGCCTGATTCTTATGGTCAGCTCTAATATATTTACCTCCTTAGTTCTTAGTTTATAAAAAAATATATTTTGATCTTGATGGTTTCTAGGATATCCTTTCTCTAATCAAAATCGTTGTTTTCAAATCATATAGGTTTTCGATTTTCTTTAACTCTAAATTTAGTAGAGTTATGATCCTTTACTTAGGGAGATCCTCAGAATCTTATTAGCAGTACTCGTGAGCCACTATTTTTTCCTTGCTCTTACTTTTAGTACTTACCTTATATTTTTTATATTTTTTTTACTATTTTCACTTTCATTTTCATATTTTATCATCAAATTACTTTGAGACATTCTTCATTAAGATTCTTTTTATTTCAAGTGTGTATAATATACTTCATCATCTTGCAATCAATTGTATTGCTTTATACTCACAATGTTATATACTCACACCATTATAAAATTTTCGTTCTTTAATTAAGCTATTGATATTTATTAAGATGCCTTATTCTTATTAAGGCATAATTATCATTTGGTTTAAAACGGCATCAAACAATGTGCAATTATTTGTAATAGTTACAGGGGCAAAGGTAGAACAAACCATTTTTTGTTTCGTGGATAAGAAAAATCGCTCCCAAGGGAGCTTATATCTCCTTCATTTGGGTCTCATTATCCATCTTAGGCAATCGAATTTATGCTGAAAAAACCTCATCATATTTAACACAAATTGTT